GGCGCTGCCCTTTGGACAGGCCTTGTTCAGGTCGGTATAGTCCTGACACATCCGCCATCCCCCTTTGGCCTTCCAAACCATGACAGAGTTGGCAAGCCAGACCGGGTACGTAGCTTCCCTGATAAAGCCGATGGCTTTTAGCTTGTCCACCTCGGTACGCATGGCCTCATACCGTTCGGCATCATACGAATGGAGATTCTGTCTGACCGATTTATGGGCGGGAGAGATGCTGAACTTGTGGCTGATGACGTCAGGTGATATGCGAAGACCTCCGCCTGTTGCCGCAAGAAGTCAATGAATTACGCTCGTAGGTCAGGATCTAGGGTGGTGCCGATCTTTACCCACCGATCGGGAAATTCCCCATCCAGGATTACCGTTTCGAGTTCTTCCGCAGGCTGCGCTACCCGCGTTGGCTTTTTCTCTCTTGGGTCGTCTATAGGCCCGCTACCGTTCGGTAGTTCCTACACAGACATGACTTCCATTGGAGGTTTGCAAGCTACCGATTTAAGGGAAGTTGCATAGTACGTCCGTGAGCTGAGCTGGTCTCCCCGGATGGCTCTGGTACCGTTCCGGGTAGGGAACTTCATCAGCAACATGTGGAGGGATAAGTAGGCTTTGACCCCGGTGAGTGCCGTTCGTCCTACGATGACGTTGTATGCCGTTGGACAGTCGACGATGAGGTATTGGTCGTAGGTCATTGTTTTTCTGGGGGCAACGCTGAAGGCGATGGGTAGACTGATACTACCGACTGGTTGGACCAGATCCCCAGAAAAACTGAGTAGAGGCGTTATCTGCAGATTGACTATGCTGTCGGCAACTCCCAGACCTTTGAATGCGTCGGCAAAAATCACATTTACCGAACTCCCGGTGTCGATCAGTACCCGACCTACATCGTAGTCGCCGATCTTGGCCCGAATGATCATCGGGTCATCGTGGGGGTAAATGATCCCTTCTTCCTCTTCTTCGCAAAATGTGATGGGTTCCCAATCCACCTTCGGAACCTTACGGTACTGATCATCTTCTATTCCGAAGACCTGAGGGTAGTGAGCGGCACACACATATTGCTTCATTGATCGGTTAGAGGGTCCCGCCAGAGTGGGGCCTCCGCTGATGGTGCTGATCATGTTGATCTGTCGATTCGCGTTTGGGGCTGGTGCCTGCTGTGGTCTGGCAATATATTGATCCAGCTTTCTCTCCCGAATAAGCCGTTCAACGATCTTCCTCAGGCTAATGCAGTCTTCGGTGTTGTGGATGTTCTGTTGATGATATCGGCAGAATTTGCCGGTATCCCGATTGTACTGCCGATTGAGCTTCCGGTTATTGGGTTTCGGAATTTTTTCGTGCTCGTTCATCAGTACAGCCTCATACGTGGTATTCAACAGGGTGAATACTTCTTGAGCGCGGTCGTGATTCGGCAGTGGTGCTTGGTGGTCGTTACGACCGTACTTCTCGCACCCCTTCTTTGACCCACCTTACCGATTGTCACGGTCGTCCTTTCGCTTGTGGCTTTCCGAGGAGTCGTCAGTCCGCCCAGGATAGATCTTGGGTGCCAATTCCTCTTGCCAAGCTGAAGGCCCGGGCTTGGAGTTGAAATATTCAGCTTTGGCGTGGATTGCCGCCTGCTTCATCAGTTCGTCATACGTACGCTAGTTGCTACTGTGCACAAGATACATGAAGTGAGAAGGCCGAAGGCCACTCTTGAAGGCGTCGTAGGCTGCCCTATCGTCCGTTTCCGGATATCTCGATTACTCATGACTGAAGCGCGCAGCGTATTCCCATAGGGGTTCGTCTTCTCCTTGCCGAACCATGTACAGATCGTCGGTAGAGTACAGACAGTCCGTCTGGATCATGAAGTGATTTAGAAAAATCTGCTTCAGTTCGTCAAAGGAGTCTACCGTTCCTGGTTCAAGACAGTAAAACTAGTTCAAAATAAGGGAGGATGGGAACAACAGGCATTGCCCCTCGTCGCTAAGGCCCTTGCATCCGACTGCCGATTGAAAAGAGTAAAGGTGCGTCAAGGGGTCTTCCACGCTGGTGTAAAATGGTATGCGCAACGGCTGTACCTCCCTGTCTTGTCTGGACTTCTTGATGCGCTCGGTAAAGGGACCTGGCCGAAGTTTCCCCCAGTCAGGTTCCTGGGACCGGGTTCGGTCGTCTTCCATCTTCTGAACTCTCTGGAAGAGCAGATGGATAGCGGGGTCTCGGCTGGGGACCTCCTCGGAACTGAAGTCTTCGGAAGTTCTCCTCGGACTTGGTGGCCTCGCCTTCGAATACTCCTTGC